CCTTCTCATTTTGTTACTCCCCACTCTATGAAGGAAAAAAAAAACTCTATTTTCCATCATCTTCTCTGCAATCTTTATAGGTTGCCTTTTTCTTCCTTTTTTTTTTTTTGTTTCACATGGATCGGCCTTATTGTCGGCGTCGTCGTCTGTGCCGTATTTTTGCGCTGAACGCTTTTTCTTCCTCTCCCCCTCCTTTCTTTCTGTGTGCTTTTTTGTGGATTTTTTTCTTTGACGCCCTAGACTGTGTTAACTCACTGCGGTGGAGTGCGGGAGAAAGGGCGTGGCACCACCTTCTCACTTCTCCCCACCATTTAGCGGCCGAACGAAAATGATGCCGGAGAGTGGCTGGCGGGAGAGTGACTCTCATCTCTTTGGTTCGCCGGCCTCGCAACGCATTGGACGCGAAGCGTCCAACGCCTTCTTCGAAACTGATCATAAGACTGACGCACCGCATGTGCGGGGACGAATTCCTGATCGTGGCGTCTTTGATGCCGTGGCTTCGCCCTCTGCTGCTGCTGCTGCCCCCTTTGGACCCACTCGACCGAGTGGCGGTTCGCCGCCACGGGTGCAGATGTCTCATGGGGATGGCGGAATCAAAACACTGGTTACTACCTCGAACGTTACGGGGCAGGTGCTGGCACAGACAGCCCCACCACGGGCGCTTGATGACGTAGACGTTTCTCCTACTCTATTTGGCACTCATGATCTGCGAAACGGTTTGCTGGATCAGAAGTTGCAACACATGCAACGCGAGACGAATGCGTTGCGAGAGGAACTGAAAGAAACATCCGGGCGTCTTGCGCACGTGACAGTGAAGCTTAACGAGCAAAAAGTGGAATTCAGTGGTTTAACGCATCGGTACGGGACAACTGTTGAGAAGCTTACAGCTGCTGAAAGTAACGTAAAGCGGCTGGAGGAGCATATTGTTCAGGAGCGCAGTAAAAATGGGGTGTTGAGAGAGGAGCGCGACAAACTTAAGGCCTCATTGAAGGATTTGGAATGGGAGGTGGAAAAATTACGTTGGGAACTTCAAGAAGAACGTAAGCGACCTGCTATGGACCCTCGAGAGGTGCAACGCATGCTGGATGATCGCACGCGATACGTTCCCGCTGCGGAGGTTCAGCAACAATGCGAAGCCATGCGTGAGAAGCATCAGACGCTTCTAGGTCGTTTTATGTCATCTCTTGACGCCCTTTTAGTGCAACACGAGGAAGAAGAAACTTCGGTATTTGTTGCGCGAAGTGCAGTTCTCTCTGCCGCGACGGACTTGGAGACACGGGTGGCGTCTGCGGAGACCACACTTAGTGTGTTGTGTGAACAGCTGACTCTTTTTAACGAGGGCTCAGAGCGTGACATGACAGAGATGCTCACCACACTTATGCTAGAGAACAAAGAGTTGTGGCAGCATTTGTCAAAACTAAAGGGTGACCACGACACGGCCGTTGTGCGGTTGGCGACGCTTCGTCGCAAAGGTGAACATGTTCCGCAAGATCAGTACGACTACGCCCAGAAGCAGCTGGCGCTAACTGCGGAAAAACTTTCCACTGCTCAAAGGACGGTGGAGGCACAAATTGAACTGGCGAGGGAGCACGAGGATCACATGAAAGTGCTGTTGAATGCCAATGACTCGCTACAGGATCAGCTGCGTCGTCTCACGGAGGAACTGGCACAGGTAAAGGAGGATGCGGAGCGGAAGGAGAATTTGTTAGAGAAGAATAGGGCGGAAGTCAATGAGGTGCTGCGGCGGGCGGAGGAATTTCAGGAAAACGTTGAGGGCGAGCGGCGTCGTCTGAATAAGACGATTGAACAGATGAATGAGAGTTTTGTTTCTAGAGAGCAGGAATACGAGCAACGCATTCGCCAACTTCAGGAGGAGCGAAATGCGACGCAGCGGGATCTTGAGCAGGCGCAGCGTGGCTTAGATGACACACAGCAACGCGCTGAATCATTGCAGCGAGAGCTTGACTCTCGCACAAGTTACTTTGAGGAGTACAGACGACAGACGGAGGAGCACCAGCAGGAAGTCAGCCGCTCTTTTCAGGAAGAAATGGCCTCCGCAAGAGCGTTATTAGAGCAAGAGTTGAGTCTGACACGGCGGGAGTTGGAAGATCAGCGGACTGCCGCGAGGGAGTTGGAGCGGGAGCGGGATGACGAGCAGGCAGAACACCGTGCTGCGCATGCTATTGCTGCTGGATTAGAGGCCGAGCTATCACAACAGCGTCGCGAAAATGAGCAGCAACGACGCCGCCTGGAGGAGGTTACAGCGCGTGTGCATAAATTGGAGGCAGAAGCGGATAAATTGCGGCAGGCGTCTGACACCGTGGGGGAGGAGAGCCACCAGCTTCAACGGGAAGTGAAACGATATCAGGCGCGTGCGCAGGAATTGGAGCAACAGATGCAACAAGAACGCGATGCGCACACACAACAGTCGATGCAGCTTCGACACGAAATGCGAGAGGTTGAGCAACGTCGTTCAACGATGCAAGAGGAGCTACAAAAAATTCGATTGCGTCTTGTGGAGATGGAGAGAGATCAGAAGCAACGTGTGATGCGTGAGCGCACAGACGCTGATAGGGAGAGTTTTGTGCGGGAAAATGCCCGACTTCATGAACAATATCAGGAGGTGCAGCAAGAGAATGTCGCTCTCCGTGAGAGTCTGCAGCAACTAAAGGGGAAGGTGCTTAATCATGAACAGCTCTCCCAGCAGCTGGAGGATGTGCAGGAACGTTTGAGGCAGCTTCCAACGCTTCGACAGGCTGCAGAGGATGCCAGAATTGAGGCGATGCGTGCCTCCCAGGAAACAGAGACACTACGCCAAGAAAGAGATGCAATGGCGGCAAAATTGGACTTTTTTCTGGAGGAGAGCAAACAGGCTGCAAAAAAAGATGAAGAATGGGGTCGTATCTTTCGTGATGCTGCCGAACAAACTCGTCGCCTTAGCGGCCAGGTCTCTGTGGTGCGAAAACAGCAGCAGTCGCAACGGAGCCCGCCTATTTTTGTTAGCCCCCATCCCAGTGGTTACAGTGAGCAATACAGCAACTACCAGCGGGTCCTGGGAAATGGGGGCGACATTTCGCTACGTAAACCAATGTCGCCCTCGCAAGCTGCTGCAGATGCATCGCCACCGCCTATCGCACCTTCTTTATCCCGACCTTGGCACTGAGTTCTCATGGTTCTTTTGCTTGCCGTTGTTGTTTCAGCTTGTTTTCACCATGCTTTTGGCAGATTTATATGGATCTTTTATTTGTTTGTATGTTTCTGAGATATGTTATCTGGGGGGTCGTACTGTTTATGCATACGAAACAAGCGGAGATTGATGGCAGTATTGCCAATCTTTTTAGACTGTTTATTATTAACATTATTATGTTCTTCTCTTTGTTATGTGTAATGTATGTGTTTTTTTTTTTTCAATATGCGACCTCCGACACATGGGGGACGCTGGAGCAGAGTGGGAGTGGGGAGAGACACCATCTCGCGTCTCTTACTTCTTTTGTTTTGTGGCATTTTGTTGTTGTTGTTGTTGTCGCACTCCCCGTCTTCGTTTGTCGTTTGGTTTAGTTTTTGGTGGTGGCTGCACTGCTGTTGGACGCAAACGACCCGGGCCAAATATTCCGCTTTTTCCTCGCGTCAGTTACACCCCCCTCCCTCTTCAATGCGTGTGTTTCTTAACGTTGTGTTGTTTTGCGTACAGCTTCCCCGTTTCTCTTTCCTTGTTTGTTGGTTTCTTTCCTGCTGTTGCTGCTGCTGTTGCCTCCCAATACTTTCATGTGTGTGTTTGTGTGTCTGCACCACGGCCCTGCAACAAAATAAAGGGAGAAAACACAACCAGTTCAAGCAAACAAACACACGAGCTTCTTGAAGCAATTGTTGGGGGTGCGTAGGTGATTTGGGGAAGGAAGCGAAACTATATTGTTGCATCATGTCGGTATTTGGTGTGGACTTCGGCAATCTTAATTCTACCGTCGCAATCACGCGTCGGGGCGGGGTCGACATTGTGACAAATGAAGTGAGTAAACGAGAAACAACGACCATTGTTTCTTTTGTAGATAATGAGCGTTTTATTGGTGAACAGGGTGTTGACCGCTACGTGCGTAATGCACAAAACACGGTGTTTCTGCTTAAACGTTTTGTTGGAATGCACATGGATGATCCCTCGCTTGTGGCGGAGCGTCGCTTCCTTACCTGCAACATAAAAGGTGACAAAAATGGTCGACTGATGTTTGGTGTGAACTACTGCGGCAATATGACCTACTTTTACCCGGAGCAGGTCTTGGCGATGCTTCTTCAGCGACTTCGTCTCTACGTGAATGCAGCCGCCACTTCGGATGCAAAGGTGCCTGTTGACGTTCGTGATTGTGTATTAACTGTTCCTTGCTACTACACCTCCGAACAGCGGCGCCTCATGTTGCAGGCGTGTGAGATTGCTGGGCTGCATTGTTTGTCGCTTGTCAATGATACCACCGCGGCGGGCATTGACTATGGTATCTTCCGCGGCTCTTCCTTGGCTGAAGCGGAAGAGGAGGCGCAGGTGGTTGGTATTCTTGACATTGGATACGGTACGACTATCTTTGCCATTGCGAAGTTTTGGCGCGGTCACCTGAAGCTTCTCGGCCGTTCCTTTGACCGCCATCTCGGCACCCGCGATCTTGACTATGAGCTTCTTAAGTACATGGCAGAGGAGGTGAAGCGGAAGTACAATGTGGACGTGACTACGAACAAACGAGCGAACCTTCGACTTTTGCAGGCCTGTGAGCGTCTTAAGTATCTCCTCTCCGGCAATCAGGTGGCGCAGCTGAACGTGGAAAACATAATGGACATCGACATTAATATTTCTTCCTTCCAGCGGAGCACATTTGAGGAGCTCTCGGCGCCTTTGTTGGAGCGCTTTAAGAACGTTGTCCGGCGGGGCTTTGAGGTGTGTGGGGTGCCCCCGGAAAAGTTCCACAGCATTGAAATGATTGGTGGCGGTTGTCGCATCCCCATGTTTAAGCGGGCAACAGAGGAGCTCTTAGGACGTCCACCCAGCTTTACACTTAATGCATCGGAAACGGCTGCCCGTGGTGCAGCCATCACTGCGGCCATCTTTTCACCAACGTTCAAGGTACGTGAGTTTGTTGTGAGCGAAATGCCAACGTATCCAATTAAAATTGCGTATCACATGGAGAACGCACAGAGCACAAGTGTTGTGCCATTCATACCTGATGTCAATAAGGTGGTGACCGTGCTGGGCGAAAAGGACCACTTTCCAAAGTTACTGGAGATTACCATCAAGCGCAGGGGTGGGTTTAAGTTGTACGCCTTCTACGACTATGAGCACCCGCTTGTGAAGAATAATATGCCCTTGGAGGAGTTCATGATTGGTGAGTGGGAAGTTGGAAAGCCACCGAGGGATTCAGCCTCAACGGAGGTGCGTGTACGTCTGCATCTGCTTGCCAACGGTCTTCTTCACGTTGAGTCTGCCGTTTCTATTGAAATGTATGAAGTGGAAGAACCCGCAAAGGAAGAATCTGCGAAGGAGGCTGCAGCCACCGACACGAAGGGCGCGGAGGCGAAGAAGTCCGAAGACGGGGAGGGGACAACTCACAAGGCACACGAAAAGAAAATGGTGAAAAAGCAGAAGCAGCGGCGTATCGAACTGACTGTTACACCGCGCCTTGACGTGATTGGTCTTCCTGGGGATATGGTATTGCTGTTCCAGAAGCAAGAGGCTGAGATGAACGAACGCGACATCCTCTTTACCAAGACACGGGATAGCAAGAATGAGTTGGAGAGTTACATCCTTGACAACCGCCCACGCATTGCCGATGGCGGCGTCCTCGCAGAATTTGTGACAAAAGAGCACCAGACGATGTTTATTCAACTCTGCAATGAATATGAAAATTGGCTCTACGAAGATGGCGCCGATGCAGACCTCAGTGCATACGAGGGACGAGTCAAAATACTCCGAGACATCGCGGACACTGCGAATGCACGACGCATGAACCTTGAAGATATTTCCTTTGCGCTGGAATTGTTTAAGAAGGAGGTTTGCAAGGCACGAGACTTGGCGCTGGACACCATTGGGAAAATGGAGCACATTACTGAGGAGGAGCTTCATGAGGCGGCGAAAAAGTGCGACGAGGCCTTGGAGTGGGCAGAGCGAGAGGTGAAGAAGTATCAGCGGGCCCCAAAGACGGAGGCGCCCACCATCACTCGCGCAGACCTTCAGGCAAAGCAGGTGACAGTCACAGAAGGTGTGAACGCCGTGGTGAAACGCCCTGCACCGCCGAAGCCAAAGGAGACGAAGTCTGCGAGTGCCACTTCCGCTGCGTGCGGCACAAATGGGGAGGGGAAGACAGCGGACACACAGCCATCAGAAGCCAAGCCGTCTTCTGTCGGAGAGGACGAGGCACCGAAAGGTGGTGATGACCTTGACTGAGTGCGGTAGAAAGGATTCACGATGGATCAGAGTGGAGGGCCGGAAACAAAGGGGAAAGAGGTGAATGAAGGAATGAACAGGCGGTGGTGTGGGGCGTGTTTGTGATATAATGTGAAAAACAGAAGAAAAGAAGAAAAAAAGAAAAAGAAAAAAAAAGAAGCGAAAGGTGAAGAAAAGAAAAAAAAAAAACAGGATTGGGTTTGTTGTGCGGTTCGACAGATGGTAGATATCAAACCACATTTGCACACAGGCACACACACTGAGAGATCTGCCTAGTATTATTCTTGCTATTATTATTATTATTATTATTATTATTATTATTATTATTATTATTATTACTATTCTTATTACTATTCCCTGCTAAATGGTGCTTCAAGAAGGAATGAAAAGAAAGCATGAAATAAAAAAGAGAATAGGATTCCAGATGGGCTAAGAGTGATGGAAAGAAGGAGCATAGGGAGAAGAATAAATACGTGATTGTGCTCATTTTTTGTCCCTTTTTGGTCTGAACGAATGAATCTATTTGGATTTA